TCTTGAAGGTGAGAGTGTATTTAGGATAGCCTAGACACAAAAATCAAGAGGGAGAAACGTCTAACTAATGAGTAATATGAAACCTTAGCCAATGGAAACATCCAACAGGTATTTGTCCAGTGTCTTTGATAAGCTGGAAAGAAGAAAAATCTGACAATTTCCTAATCACCTTCAAATAACTAACTCACTGTCCATGGCTTCAAGGAGTCTGTGCTCTGGTGGGGAAGACAGACAGGAAAAGGTACACATCTTGGTATTTCAGGCACTGTGCCGATAGAAGTTTAGACAGTCAGGTACCGGGACTCGGAGGCATGATGGAGGGATTGGTAGGTTCTGTATGGGGAGTCAGACAAGGCTTCATAAGGCACACGGGGCCAGAGCTTAGTCTGGAAATTTGCACCAAAAATACATTTATGTACGATATGAAAACAAATACCAACTAAAGTGGAACTCCATTATTACCTAGATTTCAATTGTCTCGGCACAGTCAGGTCTTCTTGACCCCCAAATTCCATTCCCAAAATATACATCGTGATAAGATTGCCAGTAATACACAGAGGGAACAGGGAAGTATCTGACATCTAACTTAGATTATCACATCTAATTTTCACAACATACCCTTAGGTAGGTTTTATCATGCCCAATGCATAGATTGGGAGAACCAAGACTCTGAGGAAACATACGTTATGCAGAGCCGTCACACAGAGAAATTTGGCAATGCTAAGATTTGAGTCTAGGTCTGCTGACTTTTAAACTTTTGCGCTTTGCAAGCGGCAACCATCGACAGATCATGTTGTATCTCATACCAAATGGCCTCAGGCAGGGCACCGGCAACAGTTGAACTTGGTCTGAATAAGAGCCCCTCCTACGAGTCATCCATACGCCCAGCCGCCAGCGTCAAGACCACACCAGAGCGCCACCCAACCACCCTCATGAATGACACACCCAAAGGACAAACTGGGCAGGCCACCGGATCCCGCGACAGCAAACTTGCTCTGTAGCATCAGCGCCTGCACACAGCTCCTTCACCGAAGTCACAGCCAGTCTTCACAACCTCGCAGCCTGTGGCCCGTCCCTCCCACGTGACCTTCCAACTGCAATCAAGGCTCAGCTACAGCAGGAGGGCACACGCGACCCACATAAGAGACAAACCTGGAGCCCCTGGCTCAGGGGACCAGGAAGACTGTGTCACTGGACCTCATAGGACACTTACCTAAGGCCACTCTACCAAGGTTGGGAGATGTAGCAGCTCTGCCCAATACATAGAAACAAACACAGGGAGGCAGCCAAAATGAGGAGAAAAAGAAACACGTCCCAAATGAAAGAGCAGAACGGAACTCCAGAAAAAGATTTAAACAAAATGAAGACAAGCAATCTACCAGATGCAGAATTTAAACCACTGGTTATAAGGATGCTCAATGATCTCAGCAAGAACTTCAACAAAGAGATAGGAAATCTAAAAATAGAGATAGGAAACATAAAAAAAAAAAAAAAAAAAACCAGTCAGGAAAAATACAAAAGAAAAAATCAACAACAAAATTAGATGAAGCAGATCAACGGCCACTGGAAGACAAGGAAGAAGAAAACACCCAATCATAGCAGTGAAAAGGAAAAGAAAAGAATGAAAAATATGAAGATAGTTAACGGCGCCTCTGGGACAACATCAGTCCTACCAACAATCATATCATAGGGGTACCAGAAGGAGAAGGGGGGAAAAAAGGAATTAAAACCTATTTGAAGGAATAATAATAAAAAGTTGCCCTAACCTGGAGAACGAAATAGACATAGAGGCCTAGGAAGCACAGAGTCCAAAAGAAGGTGAACCCAAAGAAACCCACACCAAGACCCATCATAATTAAAACGCCAAAAGGTAAAGTCAAAGAGAGAATCTTAAAAGCAGGGGCGGGGAGGGGAGCAGTTAGTTACCTACAAGGGAGCTCCCATAAGACTGTCAGTTGATTTCCCAAAAGAAACGTTGCAGGTCAGAAGGGATTGGCAGAAAATATTCAAAGTGATGAAAAGTAAAGACATACAACCAAGAATACTCTACCCAGCAAAGCTATCATTTAGAATTGAAGGACCGATAAAGAGCTTCCCAGCCAGGACAAAGCTAAAGGAGTTCATCACCAGCAAATCAGTATTACACGAAATGTTAAAGAGACTTCTTTAAGAAGAAGAAGAAAAATTAATGAATAAAATAACAATAAATATATGCCAAGTATTACTTTAAATGCAAATGGATTAAATGCTCCAATCAAAAGACCTATGGAGGCTGAATGGGTAACCAAAAAAAAAAAAGAGAGAGAGAAAAAATCCTTACATATGCTGTTTACAAGAGACTCACTTCAGATTGAAAGACACACACAGTCTGAAAGTAAAGAGATGGAAAAGATATTTCATGAAAATGAAAACAAACAATCAAAAAAGCTGGGTTAGGCCCTGGCCAGTTTGGCTCAGCGGTTAGAGCGTCGGCCTGCGGTCCAGAGAGACCCGGGTTCGGTTCCCGCTAAGGGCACGTACTTCGGTTGCAGTTTGTCCCCGGCCCTGGTTGGTCGTGCGGGTGGCAGCCACTCGATGTGTCCCTTCATGTCGATGTTTCTCACTCTCTCCCTTCCTCTCTCTCCCTCCTACTCTATCTGTACAAAAAATGGAAAAATATCCTCGGGTGAAGATAAAAAAAAAAAAAAGCTGGGTTAGCAATACCTATACCAAACAAAATAGACTTTAACACAAGAGACAAAGAAGAACCCAGCAATATCCATTTCTGGATATTTATCTAAAGAAACTCAAAATAATAATGCGAAAAGACATATACATCCATATGTTCGTTGCAGAATTATTTACAAATAATAGCAAAGATATAAAAGCAATCTAAGTGTTCATCAACAGATAAGTGAATAAAGAAGAAGTGGTACATATATACAATAGAATATTATTTGGCCCGAAGAAAGGAATAAAATCTTACCATCTGCAACAACATGGATGGATCTAGAGGATATTATGCTAGGTGAAATAAGTCAGACAGAGAAAGACAAATATCATATGATTTCACTGTGGAATCTAAAAAGCAAAATAAATGAACAGACAAAACAGAAACAAACTCATAGATACAGAGAACATTTTGATGGTTGCCCAGTGGAGTGGGGTTGGAGGGCTGGGTGAAAAGGAGAAGGAATTAAGAAGTACAAATTGGCCCTGGCTGGTTTGGCTCAGCGGGTAGAGCGTTGGCCCGAAGACCAGAGAGACCAGGGTTTGGTTCCCGCTAAGGGCACGTGCCTCCTTTGCAGTTTGTCCCCAGCCCCACCCTGACTCTCCCACATCAATGTTTCTCTCTCTTCCTCACTCTCTTCCTCCCACTCTATCTGAAGATAAGTGCAAAAATGTCCTCAGGTGAGGATAAAAAAAAAGTACAAATTGGTAGTTACAAAATAGTCATAGGAATGTAAAATATAGCATAGAGAATATCGTTGATATTGTACTAACTATATATGGTGTCACGTGGGCAAAGATTTATTGGGGTGATCACTTAGTAAGTTATGTAAATGTCTAATCACTATGTTATATATCTGAAACCAATACAATATTATATATCAACCGTAAATTAAAAAATAAAAAATTATTTTAAGAAAAAAAAAAAACTCGTACTTTGCACTACACCTTTATGTCATCAAAATAATAGAGATGATAATTTTCCATTTCTATTTCCAAAATTATTCATTTTTCCACATTACGCTCTTATTGTTGCTGAAAATAATCATTGCATCTCAGAGCCTAATATTTTTCATCTGTAAGAGATTGTTTGCCTGAATGGACTCCAGGATTTATTTTCTGCCTTTCATATTGTTTGACTTTTTTGCCTTTATAATTTAAAAATAAGAAAGCTGCTAATACAATCAGCTTTTTTACTAAGTAATCTCTGTCATATAAAAACATTTAAAAGAACTGTAATTGTTGCCCAACCAGTTTGCTCAGTGGTTAGAGCATCAGCCACAGACCAAAGGATCTCGGGTTTGATTCTCAGTCCGGAGCACATACCTGGGTTGCAGGTTTGATCCCCGGCCCCATCAGGGTCGTGGGGGAGGCAACCAATCAATGTGTCTCTTTCACATGGAGGTTTCTCTCTCTCCTCCCCTGGCTTGTTTAACCTGAAGAAGAGAAAACTTTCAGAGAGTGGAAGGAATAAAGAGAAGTAAAATATAAAATATGCTTATTTAAGATATAAAATGTCCAGATTTTTCTTTAAAAATTTTTCCCTTTATTGATGTTAGAGAGAGAGGAAGGGGGAGGGGGAGAGAGATAGAAACAATGATGAGAGAGAACATCAGTTGGCGCCTCCTGCACGCCCCCCACTGGGGATCTGGCCCACAATCTGGGCATGTGCCCTGACTGGGAACCGAACTGGAAATCTCTTGGTGCAGGGTCGACGCTCAACCACTGAGCCACAGCAGCCGGACTAAAATGTCCAGATGTTTTAAAGGCTGTTAACACATGAGAGAGGTGAGCTTAATCTTTTTGACCTCAAGGAATGTAACTATGGCCAATGAGGAGAATTTCTAGACTTTCGCTCTTTCTCAGAAGCAGAACCTGCGAGCTACATAAAACCACAGAGTGACTTAGTCTCAGTGAAATTATTAAACCAGAAAACATTCATGATCACTTTCAGTTGTAAGAGTCTTTGATTCTGTAATAGACTGGTCTTCCATAGCACCCCTGCACAGGAGACTCTATACTTAACAAGAGTGAAAACCTGGGTTCAGGGGTATCAAATCCTAATTAACACTTCGGTCATCAATAAATAAGTGAAAAAGATATGAGCAGGAAGTAAAGAGGGGACAAGCGACACCAAATTTCACTCTAGGACACCCAGAGGCCCCCTTTCCTGTAAAGACTGGCTTCTACCTGTAAGGTCCCTGTAGTCACCACGCTCAGCCACTGGCTGCTCAGGTGTGTTGACACCAACCTACGAACCACTTTAAGAACCTGTTTCTCTCCTCTTTCAGATGTTCACCTCCACAATATTCGCTGTGGTTGGATTCTTGGGCGCCGGATACTCATTCGTGGTGTCAGCAGTCTCCATCAGCAGGGGCCCTAAATGTCTCATGAACAACAACACGTTGGGCTACCCCTTCCACAACGGGTAAAGTACACCCCACAATGCCCAGTCGTCACCACAAGGGTCAGACCATGGCCCAAGGGGAGAAACTGCACATGTCCCGTCACCGTGATGTACAAGTCTCGGGCACGCTGCTCTGTGGGGCGGAGCTGGGCTGTGCGCTGGACCAAAGGGGCACGAGAGCCGCTTTGACAGAGACCAGGAGAAACAGTGAAAGGGGCACCTCGGCTGCCCTGGGGAGGGAGATGTGCGGGGTCTTCACTGACGCCCCAAGTTCCTGGCAGACACACGAGACGACTAACAGTATTGATACACAGAGAGCACGGCTTCCATTGCAAAGCTCACTGGAGGAAACAAGAATGATTACTCACCAACAGGGCTGGAAGGCTTCCCCGGATTCCCGGAATGAAACAATGTTTCAAGGTGCAAATGTGTAGCTAATGACATTGGAAACATTCTACATTCTTCACGAGAAGAATGTTAATAGAACTTAATTAAATGTTAATGTTAATAGAACTCATTAAGATGACACCATATTTTCATGGTGCTTTGTAGTTTAAAATTTTCCTTTGTTTTTTTTTTTAAACAAGATTACGATTTAATATCCGTAACAACCCCAAAAGGTCATGTACTTCCTGCCAAGCCAGGCTTAGTGCACTTGACTTGCTCAGCGCCAGCAGCCAGGTGGGGCGGGGGCAGGGCCCGAGTTCACCCCTCCTGCCCCCAGGCTCAGGCTCCTCTATGACACCTTTCCCCTCTGCACGCACTGCCCGGTGCCCCAGCCCGGAGCCTGTGGAGCTGTCCACATTGAAGCTCGTGTCAGTGACATGAAGCGGGGAATTCCGCAGTCACAGGGCCTCTTTCAAGTCCGCGGTGGCCACACCTGCTGGTAGTGACGACTGAAGCTCAGACACAGGCAGGCCAGCGGCAGGGCCCCGCGGTGCTGGGTGGACTCGAACCCCCAGGGCTGAGCCTGAACCCCCAGGGCTGGGCCCGGCTGCTCTGTCAGGAGAGGTGGCTGTGAGGTCCCCCTGCAGGCGGAGGAGGCTCATTGCTAGAAAATCCGCAGGACCCCGAGCTATGGACTTTACTCATTTACAGTGAGAAGTTAAAGAGGCTCCGAGCAGGCTTCAGGCAGGGGGTGGCGGTACCGGTTCTGTTGGGATCCGAGGTCTCTGTGTTCACAGGTTTCACGTGAAATGTCACCCCTCCTTCTCTGCAGTTAGACAGGAAGGCAAGGCCTCTGGTACACTCCTGGGACAGGCAGGGACCCACAGCGTGCTGGGCACTGTCCTCTCCGGGCACCGAGGCTGCGGGCCCCTGGTGCGGGGCCTCAGACTTCCGCTGACCTCTAGGGGAGGGCACGGGGCGGGGGCGGGGGGCACGGGGGGCTGGCATCAGCACAGAGTGGGGGGGGCAGAGGGCACGGGGCGGGCAGAGGGCACAGGGCACGGGCATCAGCACAGAGCAGGGGGCAGAGGGCACGGAGCGGGGGCGGGGGGGCACGGGGGCGGGCAGACGGCACAGGGCGCGGACATCAGCAGAGCCGAGATGGTTTGCTATGTCTCTGTTACGTGAGTGATACAATCCAGATGAACTTCAAAGCAGTTAGAGCGCATCTGTGTCCAAAACAGAGGCGAGAGGGAGAACCACGGCAGGTTCCAAGTCGCTCTGCGGGCAGGACAGTGGTCTCACCCGCCTGGCACTAAAGGCCATACTCGCCGGGCACGCGCCCACCTGGGCAGACAGCCCAGCCAGGAGAGTGACCGCTGGTCTGTGGGCGGCACAAGAAAGCCAGCTGGGAGAAGGACAGGAAACCAGTTTTCAAAGTGCCCTTTGTTTGTCCTTCTGGAGAAGCAGTTTTTCATCCGCTTCACCGCCAGGCGCCGCCGTCGCTCTGTGATGGACACTGCCGTCCAGGCTACTTCATCCCCTCCTCGCTCCAGCGGAGCCGTCCATCAGTGGGCACCAGATGGAGCCGTGTGATGGGCAAAAGCTACCGAGTCCACCTTGCGGGCGAGCAGGACGTGTCAGGATCCTGCCCCGTCTGCTCACCGAGGGCGCCGAAGGGAGAGGTTCACACACCTCCTGTCCGCACAGTGGCTTCAAACCCTGAGTGATCAGTGAGCACTCCCTGGGTTGTGGGCCAGAGCCACATCCACGGCACTGGCCAGGTGACTTCCCGGTAGGAGAGGTTGTGACTGCTCCTGGTGTTTCCCTCGTGCCCTGACTTTGGGACTTCATCCCACAGAAGGTTTAAGCCCACTCCCTGTGCAACGAGGGAGAGAAGGCCTGGCTGGTACAGGAAGGAATTTCCGGGGGACGGACCCCACTGCCTCCCCTGCCCCGCATCCTGTCCTCGGCGGCGTGTGGCCTCCCTGCTCAGACGGAGTGCACATGCCCCGACCCTCTCTCCGGCTGCCAGCCCAAACCTTCGATGGCAAGGCCCGTCTTCCACCTCCTGCAACAACAAGTGAACCTCCTGGTGCTACGTGCTTCTGTTAGCAAGATGCTTTCACCCACCGGGCCTCATCCGACCCTCCAGAACCTTGTGACACCATGAACTCTCCTTCAGGGGACACGGCGGAGGCCCAGGCAGCTGACAAGTGACCTGCCCCAAAGAATGTGTCTCCGCGCGACCGGAGTCACGGCGCTCCATCCCGAGCTCAGCTCATGCCGACGGGCGCCGTCTGCTTTGTGTGCGGATCCCAGCCAGCAAAGTCCAGGGCCTCCTGTCTGCAGTCTTTCCTACAGGCCGAGGACTCTTCTTACCGCCGGATCCCCGCGTGTCAGCATCGCGGAGGGTGTCGTCACGGCTGCGATGCTAACACACGTGCACTGGGGAGGAGGAGAGTAATCACTGGATGAGCCCAGAGTCCCCAGACAGCGGCCCCCTTTCCTTAGCACCAAAGGACAGTGGCGACAGCTGTTCGTCCCTCCTCTTCCTCCTCCTCCAGTTCATGATTAAGGTCTAAGTATTTACACCCATTATCTCAATTAATCTTCCCAAGAAATCCGACAAGCGTGCTTATCCCTGACGCAGAAAAAATGAAGTCCAAAAGGTAAATTTGCTGAGGGCTCCCCAGCTCGTTATTCGTAGAAGGAGAATTAATAAACAAACAAACAAACAAAATAAAACACTTGGCCACGCCCTGCTGGTGCCGAAGGTGTCCCAGCGCGGGGGGAGGAGGACAGCGCCGGCCCTGAGGAGCGCCTGGCCGCCTGGGGTGACAGCTCGGCAGGAAGGTGGAATGGAGCGGCCAGGAGAAGCTCCTCGGGGCGGTGACCAGGCTGCTTTCCGAGGACGAAGTGGCCTTCCAGGAGGGAGGGGAGCGTTCCAGGGAGAGAGAGCAGCTCCGGGCCCCTGGGAAAGGCCTGGCCCGCTCAGAGAAAGGGCAGGAGCTCGGGCGCACGTGAGGGAGAGGAAGAGAGGAGCACCCCGCGAGGGGGTGACTGAGCAGCAGGCTGGACCTCCAGGGCATCGAGGAACAGCAGAGGACGTCGGGCAGGACATGAGCCCTTGGGGTTTCGGGGCGAGGGTGCCGGCAGCCAGGGGGTGGCCGAGCAGAAGGGCTCAGTAACTGGAGGGCGGGTGGACAGTGGGGCTGGGGCTCAGCGGGAGACAGACTTCAGGTCCTCTGACCTGGCCTCTTCGGGACCAGGTGTGGGGGGAAGGAATCAAGCTGGACTCAGGGCCCCAGATCTTCAGTCATGTCGCCCTCAGATGCCTTGGCTGATGGTCATGTTAAAGGAGCGGAGACAGTCCACGTCCTGTCCTGAGAACCACACCAGGAAGCATCCTCCGGAAGGAGACGGAAACCCAGACCCTCGGAGACACCCCCTCCCGGCTTCCTGTGAAGCGAGCCCTCCGCCCACCCAGGGCTTCCTTTCCGAGACGCCGGGCGCCTCCCCTCGGACCCCGCGCTGCTGAGAGGGAAGCAGCTTGCTCAGGGCCGGGGACAGCCGTCGGGGAGAAGCCAGAGGAAAGACAAGGACATTCGGCGGGGGAGGACAAGGGACAGCCCAGCGCAGCACCATGGCTCCTGGGGGAGTGGGGAGGCCAACATTCTCCCACCCCGACACAGAACCGAATTCAGCACAATGGTCTGCCTGCACTTTGCTACACTGCCTGCATCTGCACTTCGAAGATTACTTATTAGCAAGGAACCCCCTAAACTCTCCTGGACACACTCCCTGGAGCTGAAGGCCACATCCACAGCAGGAGGGTGACATGGGACCGCATCTCCGGTTCGCCGCGCTCAGGAAGTGGGACACACACAGATGTTAAGAACCAGCTGAGCCCTCGGCCTAACCAGACATGGGGACGGTCATACCTCGGCACGTAGTCGTGACCTGGGCGATGAATGCACGTCTCAGCTCTTTACCCGTGAAAGGAAGCAACGGAAAGACCTTTGTTACGGGCGCAGGCGAGAATGAAATAGCAGGATGTACCCGAAGCGCCCAGCAGAGTCCCCCCCACGGAGTGCCTGCCGACCGGTCAGCCTTAGCGTCCGTGTCTGCGAACACAGCTCCTTGCAATACTGCAACGTATCATTGTGCATCAGAACTGTCCGAAACGGCATGCTTGCATAATCCGGGGTTTCATTCGAATCTTTTCAAACAGTCAAAAGGATTCACTAGAATGATCTCTTTATGGTGGTGTAGGTAACCCTTGATGGGCACACTATTCTAGATGAATCTCTGTGTTTGATCACTGTCATGTTGCAGAGAGACTACGGAGATGAGGTACTTGAACAGAGAGCGCTGTAATGGTTCGGGCGCTCGCTGTGGAGACAGACAGACCTCAGCTCAAACCCGGGCACTTCCATTTCCAGCCTCAGCTTCCTCATCTGCATATGGGTCACCCACCCAGTGACTGAGCCCGAAGGCCACCGTGTGCGGCATTGACTGGTCAAGGACAGCGACCTCCGGGGAGGGCTGGAGGGGATGTGAAGCGCGGGCCCAGGGCCGGACGCGGCAGGTCACAGCAGTGGCAGCTGCTGTTACTCACGGGAACCCCCTGTGCCCGAGCTGGGGGCGGGGGCAGGGCCGTGGTCTGTGCCCGCGTGAGGGACAGCCCCCGAGAAGACAGCCCAGTGCCCAGACGACCACCCCGGCGCTGGGGAGCACAGAGGGGCCAGGGCCGCCGAGGGCAGGAGGAGCGTCCCGCTCTGTCCCAGAAGAGGGGGTGGCACCTCAGGAGCCAGGCAGAGGGGCCAGCAAAGCCTTCGGGCTGCCCGGCCCCCCTTCCGCCGCCAGCAATGGGCGCAGGGCCTCCTGGGCTCGGTCCGGCGCTGACGGTCCCGGCCGCCCGTGGAGGTGCCCTTCCCGAGGACAGGGCGCTGTGCACTGGGCTCAGGGGGGCGGCTGTGCACGGCCTCCGCTCCCCTGGCTCGGAGAGTGGGAGCATGATGAGCCCCCCGGTCCATGAAATGAGAGCCCTCTCCCCGGAGGACGGAGAGCAGTCACTGCCGCCCCTCTGAGAGTCTCCAAACCTGAGAGTCGGGCCAGAAGGGCCTGGAACTGCCGTCCCTGGTGGTTTGTGACTGCTCCAGGCGCCCAACTCCAGCCTGGCTTCCAAGCTCCCCGTGAGCACTGTACCGCTCTCCCCACCAGGGGGTGCTGTCGGGACACCACTCTCACAGGCTTCAGGACAGGGAGGAGCTCAGGGGGCCAATCACTTCATCTCAGGGTCTTCTCTTTACCTAAAGTGCCTGGAAAATACTGTCTCTTGGTAACTTATCATCATGAAGTGTAAAAACTGCAAAGATAGATAGGACTGCATAGAAAAATGTGGAACAGAGACCAATGTTTAAAAAAGAGGTCTTGCACAGTACATAAGGTGTATTATCTCAGTGAATTCTCACACTGGAGAGGGTGTTTTCGGCCTGTTTTATGGATGAAGAAACTGATGCTGCCTGGTGGGAAAGGGATGGGAAGGGGAGTGAGCAACTGTATGAGGAGCACACCGCTCGTTACAGGAAAGCTTGTATTCGAACCCAAGTCCATCCGAATCCAAAATACCAGGCTCTCTCCTTTAGACCAGACAGCGAAGATTAAGTGAAATAACAAAACTAGTGTTTATCGAGCACTTACTATATGCCGGCCACTGTCCTAAGCACTCTATTAGTATTAAGTCATTTAATCCTAGGATTAAATGTCTCCAGGATTTCACAGATAATATTATTACTGTTTCACAGATGAGGCACACAGCTTGAGTCGCTATTACCTGCGCTCTTATGGAAGCTGAGTCCATGCTCTAACCAATATTTTATTTTTATTTTTTCTTTATTGATTTTTAGAAAGAGAGGAAGGGAGAGGGAAAGAGAGACAGAAACATCGATGAGAGAAAACATCAGTTGGCCGCCTCCTGCACGCCCCCCACTGGGGATCGGGCCCACAACCTGGGCATGTGCCCTGACCGGAATCAAACCGGTGACCTCTTGGTGCAGGGTCGACGCTCCACCACTGAGCCACACCGGATGGGCAACAATGTCTTATATTTAAATCAAGAGCAAGCGTTCCTTCCTTCGTTCTTCCAACTGCTAAACAAGGCATCTCCATCACTGCAAACAGTGTCCACGTTTTAACAGAATATATTTGCGTAATTGTGCACTGATTCCTAAAGAATTCATCGGAAACAAAGGTCCTCAAAAATAACTCGAAACAGTAAGGTGGTGCTGCTTTGGTGGCACATGCGGACAGTCTCCCACTGAGGCGACAGAGGAGGCATAAGGGGCGGGGGGCACTCTGTGGCTCTGAGATGTGAGGAGAGATGACAGTTACTTGGAGGACGGACCCACTGTCCTGATGCTGAACACAGCGCACCTCACACCCTCCTCCGCGGGAAGCCCTTGGGGCGGGTCTCCCAGTGTGCGGACTCCGTGTCCCTAGGGCGGGTCTCCCAGTGTGCGGACTCCGTGTCCCTAGGGCGGGTCTCCCAGTGTGCGGACTCCGTGTCCTCGGGGCGGGTCTCCCAGTGTGCGGACTCCGTGTCCTCGGGGCGGGTCTCCCAGTGTGCGGACTCCGTGTCCCGGGGGCGGGTCTCCCAGTGTGCGGACTCCGTGTCCCGGGGGCGGGTCTCCCAGTGTGCGGACTCCGTGTCCCGGGGGCGGGTCTCCCAGTGTGCGGACTCCGTGTCCCGGGGGCGGGTCTCCCAGTGTGCGGACCTGGTGTCCTGGGGGCGGGTCTCCCAGTGTGCGGACTCCGTGTCCTGGGGGCGGGTCTCCCAGTGTGCGGACTCCGTGTCCCGGGGGCGGGTCTCCCAGTGTGCGGACTCCGTGTCCTGGGGGCGGGTCTCCCAGTGTGCGGACTCCGTGTCCTGGGGGCGGGTCTCCCAGTGTGCGGACTCCGTGTCCTGGGGGCGGGTCTCCCAGTGTGCGGACTCCGTGTCCCGGGGGCGGGTCTCCCAGTGTGCGGACTCCGTGTCCTGGGGGCGGGTCTCCCAGTGTGCGGACTTCATGAGTGAGCCCCTGGTCTCCTCTTCGGTGTCTGTGACACACGCATTAAGGCCCAGAGGGCTCGGTACTTCCAGCTCATCAAATCGTTTGCACGAGGAATTCCCGCAGGTTGACAAGTATACAGGGGTTGGCAGAATTAGGCTTACATGTGTTCGTTATGAAAATAAGACGATAATTAATAAATAACAATGCAAGAATAGACTCTGTGTTTCGCGTACTCATAACTGTAGACCTACTTTTGCCCATCCCTATATAGTTGAGTCACATTCACAATTTGCCTACAATTAGGTCTTTTAAAAAGTCAAGCTTGCCCTGGCCGGTTTGGCTCAGCGGTTAGAGCGTCGGCCTGCGGTCCGGAGAGACCCGGGTTCGGTTCCTGCTAAGGGCATGTACCTTGGTTGCAGTTTGTCCCCGGCCCTGGTTGGTCGTGCGGGTGGCAGCCACTCGATGTGTCCCTTCACATCGATGTTTCTCTCTCTCTCTCTTCCTCTCTCTCCCTCCCGCTCTATCTGAACAAAAAAAAAAAAAAAAAAAGTCAAGCTCGCCCTGGCTGGTGTGCTCAGTGGTTAGAGCGTCAGCCTGTGGTCCAGAGAGACCCCGGTTCGGTTCCCGCTAAGGGCATGTACCTCAGTTGCAGTTTGTCCCTGGCCCTGGTTGGTTGTACGGGTGGCAGCCACTCGATGTGTCCCTTTCACGTCGATGTTTCTCTCTCTCTCTTCCTCTCTCTCCCTCCCACTGTACCTGAACAAAAAATGAGAAAATGTCCTCGGGTGAGGATTAAAAAAAAAAGTCAGGCTCTTCCCTTTAACTATGTGACACGGTTATACTTTCAGGTGGCTTCAGATGGCCACTAGACCTGACAGAATTGTGTCAAACACCCTCGCGGTCCCCAGTGACAGCAGGTGGGACAAAGCCGGGGACGTGTGCGAGATTCTGCTCCTGAAGCATGTTCATTTTCCTGGCCCCTAGTAGATGCTGAATTTACCCATCATCCTCTCCGTCAGCTCACAAATGTCACTCTGTCACTGAGTAGCTGTGTGACCTAGGGCAAGAAACTTAGCCTGTCTGTGCCGCAACGTCTTTGTTTGTGGAAAAGGAAGAAAAGAACCATCCCTGTTCTGTGGGAAATAAAATAGTTAACACGGGGGAAATGTTTGGAACAGGGTCTAACACAGTACTTAGTCTATAAAAACATTAGGTGTTGTTGTTAAAGTTGTTACGGGGTATTTTTCTTAGAGCGTGTAAGTGTTTGGATGGAAATTACTGCAGAAGAAAAAGTCTCACAGTGACGTTTTAGTCTCGGGTATGCCTGCTTTTCATAGCTGTCCCCTTCCCCCGACAGGGACTATCTCAGCGACGAAGCTCTGTGGAGCAAGTGCGTGCAGCCGGAGAACGTGGTGTCCTGGAATCTGACCCTCTTCTCCATCCTGCTCGTCATAGGAGGGGTCCAGATGATTCTCTGCGCCATCCAGGTGGTCAACGGCCTCCTGGGGACCCTGTGCGGGGACTGCCAGTGTTGCGGCTGCTGCGGGGTAAGTGGGGTCTCCGACCTGACCCCGCAGGCTGGGACGCCAAGGCTGGCCTCCCACGCTAGGGCAATGACACGGTGGCAGCCACAGAAAACCAGAGCCGGGCTGGACCTGCCGGGCAGGCCCTCCGTCGGCCCAGGGGACAGCGCCCTTGTGTTGCTGGACCCAGGTCTGCCCTCCGTGCATGTTCACGTACCGGGCTGAAGCCGAGCAGATTGTAGCCTCACACCCGCTGGCCCTGGTCCTGCAGGCAGAGGACTGTGTACACACCCAGAAACCTACAACGACGGCACGTGCAAGTCCCCAGGAAGTGGGCATGTGTCGTGTGCACATATAGGCAGCAGTGACGCATCCCGGTCTGGCCCCAAGTGCTCTCACGTTTCCCAGCTACAGCTGCTCCGTGGGTTACAGTTGCCAAGTAACATACAGAACACACTTCAGGATTTTTTCTTTTTCCTAGAAAGGAACAGAACATACCAAAATACAAATAAATAAAAATTCTGTATTTTGATAAAATATCTGGTGTCAAAAAAAATGCTCGTAAGGTGTGGGAAAAATATAATCACAAAGCATTTGGTCTCAAAATTTACTGTAAATCATTAGCAGAAATATAAAAAAATAAAATCAAACTCTGGGAAGCAAGACAATGTATTTAATTCAACTAATGACCAAACCAGATCAGTCAATTATTCATACACACAAAGTTAATTAAATATACAGAAGAGTGTATAAGGGGAAAAAAAACTATTCACTTCTCTAATTGGAAATTACATAAATAAATGTAAATAGAGGTCTATCTCCTTAACATAATAGTATTCCCTAATTTTAAATGAATTAAATATTTTTAAAAATATTTAACAAGCATTATATGTCTATAAGCCAAAACGTGTGTATGTGTGTGCATGTGTGTGCACACATGCAGATATACAGAGAGGTACTCAGTTAAAAAGGCTGGACTTTGCCTTGCATTCTGTCTGCCCGACCCCAGCTCCCCTGGGGAATGTTACCTAATATCTTCCATATCCTCCCAGAGTTCCTTTTTTATTGTTTTTATCCCCATTACCTTAAGAGGATTTTTCAAAACAAATTAATAATATTTATGAGATAGTGTTATGTAAAAAGAGCAAACTACAAAATAAATGTATACAGGTTATAAAATTAGATAAAGGAGAAAAAACCAAATAACATAAATAAATAGAAAGGACCTCAAGGAAATCCATCCAAAATGTTAAATGATAGTTGTTTGTGGGTAAGAAGACTTTCATTTTTTCCATTTTCCTACTTTATATTATTCAATAGAGGTTTAACAATTATATATTTTAAAATATAAAAAAGTAAACAAAAGGTTCCAAAAATATGCCATAAAATACATGTATTACAAGTAAATTTTATTGGCTATTGGCTTTTTTGTGTAATTTTTTTTATTCTATTGTATTGAATTTAAATTTTTTGGTCAATAAACACAACTCAAGAGAAGAGAGATCTACCAGTTAATCATCAAAATTATTTTTACTAGAGCAGTAGGAATGTTGAGCATTTGAATCTTGTGATTCCTCCAAATGAATTCTTGCTTTCTGAATCAGCAGATTCTTGTCCTGTTTTCACAGGAGACACTTTCTGGTTAGGTAGCACATTTTCCGTGCAAGATTTATTGCAAATACAGCTGCTCTTTGACCAGAAGATAGCAGTTTACTAAATCTGATGTTTTCTATAAATGTAAAAACATGCCCATAAATGTCAGAACATTGACTCTTTCCAGTGAGTATCATCTATGCAGGTACCATATTTTTGCAGTTTTAATGAATGAATCACTGGATAGTCAAGAGACAGTAGATGGTGAATGAACCCGGCTGGAATTCCCTCCTTCCTTCCCTTCCTTCCTCCCCTTCCTTCCTCCTTTCCTTCCTTCCTTCTTCAACCTTTTATTTGGAAAACTTCAAATCTATATAAAATTTAAAAGAGCAATACAATCAACATACACCTGTGTGCTTTCGCCTGGATATACAAGTTGTTGGTATTTGCTCACCGTCTCCTTCTTCACCATCAGAAAGTCATTTGCAGACATCATGCAGCCTCATGACTGTTTCAGCCACTCAGGTCGGGGAGGGAGCCTTTCTTTTGCCTGCTGGCCTCTCAGAGGGCAGGGCGGATTCCTGCCCGTAGCACACCGTGAAAAGTCGGGGCTCCCGCAGTGACGTCATAGCTGAGTTACCGCGGGAGCTGCCTAACTTCTCACAGTCACCGTTACCCCAACGCCTTGATGGGACTGCTGCAGAGAGTGAGCAGATCAAATGCGTTCACTCGGGCAGAAAACATTTATGAGAGGTTCCTGAGCCGGCACAGTCCTTGCATGAGGTAATAGATAAAAACGTGCTTTGAAATTCCAGCTGTGGCCTGGGATGAATCCCAGGTCTGTGGCCTTGACCAAGTCAGCTACCCTCACCTGTTTTTTGATAAAACGTGATTGTTAAACCAACGTCCGAAGGTTGCTGACTGTCTAACACGGGGTGATTAATATACATTCATTGAACAGCTACGGGGCTCTGCACATGGTACTGACTGTTATTTACTAAGAGCCTGAAAATCGGTGAGGCAGCCTGGCTTCCAGAAAAGGAACACAATCTCTGGGTTCAAATCCTGGCTTCTCCACTTAGCTGCGGCTTTAGAGACATCACCTGACCTCTCTGTGCCTCTTATAGAAATTATTTTTGATAATAAGTGACGCAAAATAAACTGAAGCTTCAACTCCTATAACCTAAACACAGTTAAGCTCTGAAACAAAGTCAGAATAGTATAGAAAACATTCAATAAGTAACCAATAAGGGGTAGGATTAATCAGAGAAGAGAGGTGACAGGGAAGGGAGCAGGGAGGGGAGAAGTACGCCCCGCCCCCCCCCCCAAAATGATGTCATATTTAATTAACTTTTTCTACTTTCTAGGGAGATGGACCAGTTTGAACCTCTGTGATGACCTTCTCTAACTCGATGGCATGTGAAGATACATTCGACTTACTTCTCTCCATGGGGTTGTCTGTGTCCACCTGCTTCGGATCTGTCAAAGCTCAGGGAAAGCACAGTTATTCCTTCTCCCTTCCAATCAGCTTAGCTCAACTTGGAGCTTTATGTCAGTTTCAAATAAGAAACAGGTTGCCCAGATTTATCAATCTTTCTAATTAGCTTCCTGTTGAGATTGAAGAGCAGGTAAATAGCTAATCTGTCACAACTTTTTCTTTAAGAATGAAAAATCAATATCACATGTATTGCCACACTGCTGCTTAGCATACACAGGTGTTTATATCTCTGGAAGTTCAACATAATTCAAAGGAGAAAAGCACTTTAAAATGGGCAACTAAGACCTATTTTTGTTGTCAAGATTTATGGGGAAAAAAGAACAATTGATATGTCATAAATCATTTTTATTTGATGTCGTTGGCTAATGTGTTCAAATTAATTGTGACCACTCTTTTGAGTGAGAATTTCCTTATGTATATTATATTAAAATCATAATTCAGTGGTAATATAATAGAGATGGTATGTGTTTCGGGAAAGACGGGCAAAAGGTTGAATGAAGTGTACCTCCTTTTTGTTATTGCTGGAGCTGGGGGATCCCTTTCCCCATTGGGTGCTGGGGGCTGGGTTCTTACACTATCGTGAGAAGAATGAGTGATTTTTATTTGTGTGGAGTTACATCCCTCAGTTTCTGAAGTCTCAGTTCTCTTAAACCAGTCTTGCAAGAGGTGCAGCTGGGGATTCTGCAGAGCTAGGAGCGGAGCCAGTGTTCAAAGTCTCCATTCCATGGAGGAGTTAATTCCAGCACAGCATCAGACTAGTTCCAACACATTAGTCCAGTGTGTCTGGGGATCCACAGGACCATGAGCCATGTGGGTAAACGCAGGGGAGCACACACCCCCCCCACACACACACACACACAACAAGAAAACCAGGAGTGCAGGCAAGCAGGAGAGACCCTCTTGTTTAGGAGTTTAAATATCAAATCTTCCTGTGCTTGCAGTCACGACGCCCATTCTGGCCAAATGATCTGTTCCTGGGGTGACTGACAGGCAAGCACACACCCTACGTCACTCAAACTTTACTAGTCATGCAACTAAATTGCACTTTCCTCTGCTTCTTTCCTGTTATTGATAACTGGGTTATTACAATGGTATCCTTTTCACCTTTCTACAAATGTCTCCTTTGATCAAACAAAAAACAATGTTTCAAATGTTGATACAGTATAACTCTATGTGTTATATGATGACATTAACTTCGGTTTTATGAGTCAGGCACTAATATGAAGTTACATCTATTGTGTTGATTTGACTTCAAACCCCAACTGCACCAAATTCCAGCTTGGGGATCCTGGGAAAGTTACTTTCTAAGTCTCAGTTTCCCCATCTGTGAAAGGACTGTTAAAAGACAATCAGTCATCCAAGAAATGTTGACGTCGCCCGGGGGTGAAGCTAGGGGGCCTGTGGGATTGTCAACATGACTCATGCACAATAAGAAGAACTGAGAGGGGGCTACAAGCCAGCGAATCTCACTCTTCACCTGCAAGCTGACATGCACACTGACTACTAGGCTTCCCATCGTCACTGACAAAGCAATTACCAATCAGCCCTGAGTGCTGGCCTCTGGGAGATCACCAGAGAAGACACAGGGAGTTACACATCTTTTGATTTTCCCCTCACTGCAATGCGAATTTGGAGGTCAGAGGTCAAATCTGGCACTTAACAGAGAGAAGGGTACCTAGGTACCCATTACAATCTCCTTGGGGGAAAACACACACACACACACACACACAGTGTTTTGAACAAGTTTAGACCTCTGGTTCTCAAATGTGGCTGACCACCAGAGTACCCAGGAAATGTTCCAACATCATGATTCCTGAGCCCCAGCATAAACCTACTGCATCTGCAAACTGAGGCACAAGGCATGGAAGTCTACCTTTTGTGTGTTACTTAGTTTTTTGGGTTTTTCCAAATTTTTTTCTTTTTTTTCTTTTTCCTTGATTTTAGACAGAGAGAGAAAGGGGGAGAGGGAGATGGAAACATCAATGACATAGAACATCAATTAGCCACCTCCTGCATGCAACCTGTGGAGATTTTGGCCCACAACTTGGGCATGTACCCTAACTGGGAATCAACCTAGTGACCTCTTGGTGCATGGTTGACGCTCAACCACCGAGACACACTGGCCGGGCTGTTACTTAGTTTTTGAAGCTCACTAGGGAATGCTAAAAACCAGCCACTTTGAACAACCACTGACTAAACCACAGACTGGCAGGCACCAGAGATGAAAAAGAATCAGAGCGCACTGGGAACTAACACTCTACCAAGTAACATTAATACAATGTAGTGTATGCCAAACCCCAAGGGGTAACACAGACCATTGTGTGCTGGAGGTTCAGAGATGGCAGATTATTGGGACCGATTCACCAACCCCACTTCTTTGATGTGAAAACAAGAATGTGGGTGAGGCATCAATTTCTTACTTAGGGGGTCTCATTAATGCAGATTTCAGAAACAAAGGTCTGTATTCATTATCAAATCCAATCTCATTATTTTATACGCAAAGAAGTAGCATATGTCTTTGATAAGTTTTCACACACAAAAAAGCCATTTTTCAAAATCAGGTACCATGAAATTAGGAAAATTACCTTACCATGGACAAGATGACTTAGAAGGAAGCGTCAGGAAACAAAGGGTGAGGTTGAATTGGCCCCTTCCTTTGTAGATGCTCCAATATACACACACATAACTCAAGGCTGGTAAAGCTGTCCAGATTCTTTTTTTGTCTTTAACCTTTGTCATTTTGATGATGATGTGTCTTGGTGTGGACTTCTTTGGGTTCATCTTGTTTGGACCTCTCTGTGCTTTTTGGACTTGTATGTCTGTTTTCTTCACCAAGGTAGGTGCATTTTCTGTCATCTTTTCAAATACGTTTTCAATGTCTTGCCCTCTCTCTTCTCCTTCTGGCACTCCCATGATGCGAATGTTGGTACACTTGAAGTTGTCCCACAGGCACCAAGACATAGCATCATCAAAATGCCAAAGGATAAAGACAAAGAGAGAATTTTAAAAGCAGCAGGAGAAAAATCAGTTAGTTACTTACAACAGAGCTCCCATAAGGCTCTCAGCTGATTTCTCAAAAGAAACTGCAGGCCAGGAGGGAGCGGCAAGAAATATTTAAAGTGATGAAAAGCAAAAACCTACAACCGAGATTACTCTATCCTGCAAAGCTGTCATTTAGAACCAATGGCCATATAAAGAGTTTCCCAGACAAGAAAAAGCTGAAGGAGTTCCTCACCCCCAAACCAGTGTTATATATGAAATGTTGATGGGTCTTCTTGAAGAAGATAAAAACATATGAACAATAACATGGCAATAAATACATGTCAATCACCAATTAAATCTACTAACAAAATGAGTAAGCAGAACAGAAACAGACTCATAGATACAGAGAACTTTTTGTTGGTTGCTAGATGGGAGGGGAGTTGGATGAAAAATACAAACAGATTAAAAAGTACAAATTGATTGTTAGACTGATGAACCTCACAGGGAAGGGGGTGGCAGGTTCGAACAGGTAAACGAAAGAACATATACACATATATACATAACCAATAGACACAGACAATAGTGTGGGGAAAGCAGGAGGGAGGCGGAACCGGGGAGGAGGGGGTCAAGAGGGAAGAAAAGAGGGACATCTGTAATACATTCAACAATAAAGATATGGTTTTTCTATTAATTTATTTTTGTTACAAATATTTCTCCTTTTTTTCAAAATTGACACCCTCCTCCCCATCACCCCCCCACCACCCCATCCCCAGCTTTGTTGTCCATGTCCATCGGTTATGCATACATGCATATAAGTTCTGTTCTTTATCTCTTTCCTCCCCTCACTCCCTCTTCTGAGGGTTGTCAGCCTGTACCCTACTTCCACGTCTTTGAGTCTACCCTGTTCCTCAGACTGTTAAGTTCATTATATTCCACAAATAAGTGAGATCATGTGATATTTGTCTTTCTCTGCTTGGCTTGTTTCGCTTAGGATAATACTCCCCTCCATGTCATCTGAAAGGATAAGAGATCTTTCTTTCTTATAGCTGCATAGTACTCCATTGTGTATATGTACCACTGCTTTTTTATCCATTCGTCTACTGATGGACACTTGGGCTGTTTCCAGATCTTAGCTATTGTGAATAGTGCTGCTATGAACATAGGGGTATATATATTCTTTCTGATTGGTGTTTCAGGCTTCTTAGGGTATATTCCTAGAAGTGGGATCACTGGGACAAATGGAAGTCAATTTTTAATTTTTTGAGGTAACATCACAGTGTTTTCCATAGTGGCTGCATCAGTCTGCATTCCCACCAGCAGTGTACTAGAGTCCCCTTTTCTCCACACCCTCGCCAACACTTATTTGATGACTTGTTGATGGCAGCCATTCTGACAGGTGTGAGGTGATACCTCATTATTGTTTTAATTTGCATCTCTCTGATGATTAGCGCTGTTGAGCATTTCTCTATGTCTCTTGGCCATTTGTATGTCCTGTTTGAAGGGGTGTCTGTTTAGTTCCTCTGCCCATTTTTTAATTGGGTTCTTTGTCTCCTTTTTGTTGAGTTGTATGAGTACTCTATATATTTTGGAAATTAACCCCTTATCAGATGTATCATTGGCAATGATGCTCTCCCATACAGTGGGTTGCCTTTCCAATTTGGTGGTTGTTTATTTTTTAGTTTGATGTGTTCATTTTTTCCTTTGTTTCTGTTGCCTTAGGTGATGTATCAGTGAAAATTCTGCTGCGTATGATGTCTGAAATTTTGTTGCCTACATTTTCTTCTAGAATTTTTATGGAATCACGGATCACATTTAAGTCTTTTATCGATTTTAAGTTTATTCTTGTGTATGGTGTAAGTTGATGGACTAGTTTCATTTTTTTTTTTGCATGTAGTTGTCCAATTT